TCTGATCCCATTCCAGCCAGTTCTCTTGCAGCGGTGTGTGTAAGAAGCAAGATAAATGGTAGCTGCCTACATAATCCATTATTAATCATGAGTTAACAGAAATACAGAGAATAAAAAGAGTTTTAGCCTGCCTCACCAATTACTCATCATGTTAAAAATCTGTAAACTTGGGTCACAAAAATGGTTATCACATGAAAAGCTGGATCTGCTGCTGCTGCAGCAAAACAAAACAAAAAACCAAACAAAAACAAAACTCTTCATGCATTTTGAAAGCTTTCAAGTGTTCTCTCTAGAAGGCTCAAAATGTTTTTTGTTTACTTATGCAAGACTTTTCTGACCTGGTTATACATATTGTTGGTTCTTAATAACACGGTTCCTGAATATGTTGAACTGTTAATTTTTGTAATATAGGAACGTATCCCTATTCCTTTTTTGTTATTTCTGCCATTAACTGATAAAACCTGTACTAGCAAACCTATTGCAGAGGTTCATCCTGAATTGTGTGGCAAGGATGGGCGAGGAGCATGAGACAGAGGCACAAAGTCATCAGAGTCTCATCCTTGCTCATCTCTTGTATTTCTAATCATTATGGGGCAAGATGCCTTTGAATATCCAAATAAGCCCTTTGTGCCTATAAATAATGCAGGGGGTCAGATGGACAGAACTTGCTATGTACATATTTCGACTTTTAGTGTCAGAAGGCAGTCTCATTCATAGTTCAACATAAGTTGTTTTCAACAGACATGTCTTTGGCATATTTCCAGTTTAAAAAAGTTGTTTCCAGAAAGACAGACCAAAATTCTGAAAAACCGCGACATAAGTAACACAGGAATTGGTGGAAGGAAGGAAGCTATGACCAGCCTTTCCAAGGTTGGGGGCTGGTTTACATTTACAGTATTGAAGAGACAGAGGCCAACATGTGTTTTTTTTTCTACATTCCATATTATTTCTGATTCCAATTTATCATTGCAAACAGAACAGTAGCAGCTTCAGTACTGGACTTTGCTACAAACACTTGTTCAAATAAATCTGTCATCCACAAGGACTCAGAGTTCTAACATCAAAGTCCATCTTTCTGGTCCAGAGTGTTTCCAGGAAAGGAGGATTTCACAGTCAGAGGCGCTGCTGTAAACTTTTTCTTCTTCTTTGTAATTCCACTACACATTTGATCCCAAAACTTTGGTCCCAGACTGCAACTCATTGATTGTTGAGACACTCTGTTGAGGAAGGGAGAAATGCAGCCACCAGAGTTTTGAATTGACAACGAAGAGAACTCCGGGCTGTTGAGGTTGTGAAAGAGGAAAGGAGACAGAACCCAGGCATGATCTGCCTAGCCAGACACACTGCAGAAGCCTTGCTGGAGGCTAACTGAAGGATTGATGAAAATACATTCTATATAGCCTTTAAATAGCCTATAATACATTTAGTGAGATTCCCTCCCCCAACTGCCCATATGATGTGATTCCAGTTACCACATAAAGTGGAGACCACTAAAGAAACCGTGCAACATAACAGAATCCAAATATATGTTTTCCTATTGGGATGCTGCTATATTAAAGACTCAGGTAAGACTAATACAGTTATAAATAACTTGTTTTGAGATAATTAAATTGCACACATGAACCTAATAGAGATCTTTACCAATCACAAAGATCTTGAAAAAATAAATAAACACTAGTGAAAGTTCAAGAGATTAATACTGGTGAGTGCTAGGTGCACAGACTGTGAGATGCTAATACATGTTCCTGATGTGCGAGTACAGATACCAGAACATTTGCTTCCAAACTTCCATCTACCAACTACATCAGATTTTCTAAACAAGTTGGACACCACACAATATACAGACTGCCACTTGGGAAAACAATGGTTTCCTAAAGAGGAGAAGCAAGTTCTTTCCTGGATTACAGCATTTTCTATAGAGCTTTAAAAGAGATCACTGTGTTATCTTCATATGAGATTAATACGTTTTCCTTCTTGCAAGGATACAGTTTTTCTTAAGGGCTGAGGTGCAAAGCTTCCTTTTCAGGAAGCGTCCCTGATTGTGAAGATTTCCCTAGTTTGCATGCCTCTCAAAAAAATTCCATAGAGACAGAACACAGAGTCCTACAGAAGGAAGAGATCTTGGAACTATCTTTCTTGGGATACCAAATTAACTTGTGCTGGACAGAGCAGCGAGATGAAAGACACCGGCAACAACCCAAACCCCCAAAAGCACCAGCTGTTGGTGTAGTGGGTACAAAGAATAGTGCAACATCAAAGGCAATTTGTTTTCTGAACATCTGGCTCCAGCAGGCAAGTTTGACATGGTTAGTATGCATATATAATACCTTGACAGAGGGGATAGACTGTGTGCCTCCTTGCCCATTCAGCTGCAAAACATAAGGAGACTGAGTGTAAAGCAGCTGGGTTCAATTGGCAAAATGGCTGAGAACAACACTCTGAACAAGAGAAGGAAATGGCTTCACTCCCACTGCCTACTGATAGATTTCTCTGTTTCTATTACTTCACATAGCTGACTCATCCTCCAAGTCTAAACAAATCTCAAAAATAACTGGCTGTTATCCCAACTCTGTGGAAATCCCCTTTCATTCTCTCAGTTTAGTCACAGAAATCCTGTGGGAGACCTCCTGCAGTCATCTGTTTAACACACTACAGCTCCTTGTCCTGTCCTGCTTTCCTCCAAAGTCAACGCTTGCTTCCTTTTGCTAACAGGGCAGGCCATGACTGTATACTAATTTCCCAGGAATAAAGGAAGAGCTCTGGTCCAGCACTGCCAAAAATAAGATCTGGGATAAGGAGGGGAAAGTCTGCCCACAAAAATACTTGCTCTAACTCCCAAAAAGAATAACTTGTGGTCCCAATAAAGGTCAAGGCAGAGGTAACACTGACTAGACCAGATCAAAAATAACTTTTGTCTGGTCCATTTCACTCCAAAGGGAATGTTATTTTTAAAGGATTAAATGTTTTTTAAATTATGGAACATTGCAGAGAGGAAATGTAACCTTATACTCGGATTTGTGCCTTATCAGTGGGCATATAGGCACTCCTTCAATTAAACAACTTTAACACCAATTCCAGGATAGCTCTCTGTCTGAATATTGGCATTACATATGACAAACATTATTCACAACAGTTTCCTCAAAAGTGCATTTATACTTTAGTGATTCTGCTTGGGCTGAGACCATGCTCTAACTCCCCCAAACCCCACACTGCTTGGCATGCTATAATATGTGTAAAGTCAGTTTAATCAGAGGCAGTACAAGGTCAGCAGCAGGGAAATAATGTTTGCAATGCAGCCAATGACGGCTCTATAATACTGCTTTCAGTTTTCTGGAAAACCTTTGTTTGAAATCAGCAGTATCTTTGCCTATAACTAGCACAATGTCCAATAAGATATTGAGAAGCAGCTCTAACCAAGCAAAACACCACTGAACAGGACTGAAACATTTAAATAAATGTGTTTCATTCCGTTTCACTCATTTTTTTGTTTGCACCCTACTGCTTTGCTGGCAAGTGGCAGAGAACATAATGGCTAAGGGATGGTGCCCTTGTTGCTTCTGTCTGTCCCAATAAATAAGGAAACTGGCTGGCATTCAGGCAATGAGTCTGTCTGTTCTACCATGCAAATTCAACCAAATTATTTCTGAATGATTGCAAAAGGATGACAGTAGCATTGCCCTCTTTATGTAACTGAGATCTGAGAGTTCACTAATATCAGCAGGAGATACAGAAGCACAAACAGTTGCTTTTTGAGAAGCAGATCAACAGATTTGGACTGGGAGTGATTTTTCAGTAAGGAAGTCACTCTTTAATAGAAGGTAAAGTTCCTGTGTTTGTATTTGCTTCCATTGATGAAAGTAATACCATAATCCTTCTGTACCACACTATATACAAATAAAACATTGCCAGTTCCTCTGGTGTAACACAAATATCCCAGAAGGGAAAAAAGACAAAAAAGAGAGGGGGAGGGGGCTCTCCTTGCGGTGATAAGAAATACTTCAATCAAAGCCTAGGCTAGGCAGCTTGGAGCCCTCCACATGTTTTGGGATACAACTTCCATCAGCCCAGCCAACACCAGTCTACTAAGAATGACTAGTGGGAATGGTAGTCCAAAAGGCCATGACTGGAAGACACTGGCTGTCCTACTTTTGCTCTAAACAATGCTGGAAGGGACTCTTTTGTCTGGAACAGGAAAGACTGTATAGATGTCAGGATGAACACTTTTTGTACATGAATTTGGCTCTTGAAGAAAAGCACAGACTCATACCAAATAAAGAATCTTTGATAAGTATAATGTAACACCATGGCTATTTCATAGTTTTCGGATAGCTGCATATGTGCTCTTGCTTTGATCCTTGCGACCCTACTGTCCGAAATTACAATGGTGGAAGCTGGCTATGGTAAGATTCTGCTGTTGTTTTATGCTTTCAAATAATTTCCGATTTATGGCAACCCTATCAGGGGGTTTCCTTGGCAAAGTTTATAAGGAAGGGTTTGCTTTTGCAATCTCTGTACAATCTGAGGTCATCTATACTCCAGGAAAGTTGCCCAGAAGAATTTAGTATTGTTTCCACTGCGTATTTGGAGCTACTCAATTAAAATTACATGTTTAATTATCACATTATAAAGTTCCCAAGAAATGAAAACAAATCAAGACTGATGGTATGAATTTAAGCAATGTAGACTCATATAATCCAGTTCAATGTAGTTACTCTGCATTTTGAAACTGGATTATATGACAGTGTAGATCCAGCCTTAGGGTGCTTAAGCCTGCACTGAAGTGGGTTTAAGAAACCTGTTTTGGCATGGGTTTAAGTGCCCACACCATCCCCAAAAATCCCAGTGGGGTGTCTAGATACCCTTCTGGTAACTATCAGGAAGATACCCAAACACCCAAAAGCCCCCCCCCCCCCCAAATTAAAGAAAATGTGACAGGCAGCCATTACACTGCTCCGGCAGTCTTTCTGGCGTGTAAAAATGATGTGTCAGGAGGCGGGGGGGGGGGGGGGGGGGGGGGGGGAGTGATTTTGCACTGGGGGGAGGGGAAAAAACATGAGGGCTGTGGGCACTGACCCCTGGGTAGTCCCAGAACTACCCAAGAGCCAGTCCCCAAAGCCCCAATATCCCATTAGACCTGAGCCTTTCAGGAGGGCCCAGATATTATGGGGCATTTATTTAAATCGGGACTGAGCATAGTTTACCTGTTTTGTCCTGAATTAATTCGCTTTTACTTGAGGTGTCGTTTGGATGCCTTGGGTAAAAGCCTGACAGGCCCTGCATTTTGTGGCTTGTCTGGATGGGCACTTAAGATTTTTAAATTTTCATATTTCTATGGTAGTTTAATAGTTGAAAACTAACTACAATGGTCCAAACTTTTGCTCAGAAATAAGACACATGGGTTCAACAGAGCTTCCTCCAAAAAGAAATGATCATACGATTGTCACCTAATTGTGATAAAAAAAATGACAAGACAGTAGCAGCAAAAGGATAGGAAAATCTTAATGCAAGGAGGTCTGTGTAATTATGTTAGAGGAGTGGCCTTAAGGTCAAACGACACATGATGTTACTTATGTGCTTTAACATCCTGTGTATCTTCTCTTGAATCCCTCTGTGGGGATGACCACTGGTTAGGATCAAAGTGCATGGGGACAGGGTTACTCTTTCTTTCCATGATATTAAAACACCAACACCACCACTTTGAAACTCCCACTTACACCAATGAGAGCTTCCATCTCACATCAAATAGCCAGAAATATAATTTTCAGGGGGTTGCAGTATAGCAAGGTATCAACCACTGTCCCAAATGCCCCCTTCAGTAGTTGCTATTTAGTTTGGTTCTTTTTAATCCACAGAATATTAAACCACCTATTTAAAGTTTCGCATATTTTGGTCTGAATCCATCCAATATTTCAGCATAACCTTGCTCACTTGGAAGGTTAATTAAGACAGATTGATCTCCCAAGCATAAAAAGAGAGAGCGCAATGTGAAACATTTTACAAAACACTGTAGTTCCTCCCACATGTCACAGAACAATCAAGAAAATGGATCAAGCTCTCAGAGACTTCGCTGAGAAAAACAACTGATAATACAACCAGAGGATGTCAAAACCTCTAAGGCCCCTTCTACACTGCCATATAAAATCCAGAGTATTTGCTTTGAACTGGATTATATGGCAGTGAAGAAGGAGTCTAAGACAGATGCAAAACTAACAAAGCAAACACTGAAGCCACATATTACAATTTGCCATGCACTTGACAATCTCTGCCTCCATTCTGGTGACCTAAGGCAGACAGAGATTAACTGAGTCTCTGCTATGTTGCCATACATGAGACAAGCAGAATGAAAGCAGCAGAGCCATTAGAGGGTGATGGTCTCAAAAGAAAACAGAAGGCAAAATCTACTGAGAAAAGTGAAGCAAACATACAGGGTGTTCCCCAAAAATGTATAAACCTGTAACAGTTTGTAATCCTGAATATTTATTTTGAAATTTAAAAATATACCACTTAACAGGATTGAAGTTTCCAATATTACAAGTGTCATGAAATTACAAGAGCAACTTTAAGTGAGGGTTGTAACTCTGTGCTTTGACAAAGCAAGAAATGCATCGCTGCACAGGCACAACAATTAGAACACCTTGCATAAAACTTCAATTTGAGATGGAATTTGTTACTCTGATTGAGTCATTATTATAACATGTATTCTTCAGCATTTACTTAGCCTTCAAATAATAAATGTAGCTACTGTTAAAGGGCATATACATTTTTGGGACACCTTGTAGTACCAAGAAGTAGTACCTTTAGATAAACAAAATCCTTTGTTGACAAATATGATGTGGTGGGAAGACAACATATCCAGAATAGGTTAATTTTAAAATATACAGGAAAGATTGTTTCAGGACTTAAGCCTCTTCAAAACAGATTTGATGATGTAGAAAATAAAGTTATTTAGCAAGATGCTATTGCTAACATTTTTGTAAAATTAAGATTACACAGTGGATCCTGGAAAGTCTACATTATATGAAAAATGCAAAGCAATATCTACAGACAAAAATTACTGTGTGTTGTTAAATGACAATTTGATACAGGAGTCATTCTTTTTCTGTGAAACCGAATGCTCTTCCCTCTCTAATAATGCACAAATATGAATCCCAAGCCAGCATAGAAATGGCTTTTCCATTCATATTCTACATTGAACTGTTTCATATGTAACCACCCCTCCAAACCTGGCACTAATTGCACAGCAGTAAGAAAGGGTTGTTCAACTCTGAAAGTACTATCTGTTTCTATGTTCTTATATCTAGTAAATTCAAGCCAATCTTTCAGCTATTAAAAGTCTAATCTGAGATTTAAGATCAACATCCTTGACAAATTATAAAATGTCTTCTATCAGTTGCCAAATCTTGACCATGAAACAGCTGCTGAAAAAATAAAGAATGGCAAACCATGTTGTGAAGCCTTTTCTTTGTTCTTGCACACACTGAACTGCCATTTGCCCACGACAGAAGTGCAACACAAAAGTGCAGATGTGTAACTGATCTGTAAGACATCGGAGGCAGTATTTTCACTAGAAATGCCTACTAAATCTGAAAAGAGAGGTCATCTCTTTTCATTGTACAAAACATGGAAGCTAGTTAAAAGAGGCAGCCCTACGATTAAGTTCACTATTAGGGGAGACCTTCTGAAATCAATGGATCTTACTTAACTTCTGATCTTAATCCCTTAGCAGTAGATGTCAACCTGCAATGAAACAATGGGATTTAATCTGAACAGTGAAGCAACTACACAACCTTTTCTTTTTTTTGCACACCTCCACTCAACCCATATTGTCACCCATTTTTAGAGTTTGGTGTATCAGCTTATTGAAAAATGAATAAACTAAAATTTAGTTTCTGTATTGTCAAAATCTCAATTTTTCCGTTCTTTTTAAGGCTGGCGGCTTTGGCACATATTCAGAAAATGAATACTTTATCACACACATTAACCTAGGAAACAGTAAGGTTGAACAACATGCTATGTGCCTCAATATCCCTGCACTACAAGCTTGGATGACATGTGTAGCTATGTTAAATTGGCTGGAAAAGATAGGTTTCCCAGGATTAATTCACCTGTTTGATTGGATTGAGCTCTGACTTGACAGAACATTTAAAACTCCACAAGATATTGCCTCAAAACAGTAATCAGAGTTAGCAGAGAATTACAGAATACAGTAGTGATAGAAATGGGTAATTCCTGAGAGCTGAGTAACCTTATCCAGTTTCTACCCAGAGAATCAAGAACACCACTCTCTCATTTCAAGGTGTCACTCACAAAGCCTACCTCAGGGGTTTACCAACCAGGCTGCACAGATCAAGCTCATACCTTATATATTTCCAGTGCAAATAAAGCATAATTGAGTACATAGCAAACACATCCAGCTAACTACCTTCCAACATCTTCCATACATGCCTTTCACAAACAATTCTTACAGAAAATAGACCTGAAACATCTAAAATATAACAGCAACTCCAAAGTGGGGCTCCAAAAGATTTGGCTTCCAGATAGTGACTACTCAGGATTACAACTCTTTGGAGAGACACTGATAACTGCTCAAGTGACCCCACATGCCGTGTTCCCATCATTTAACAGCTTCCTTCCTGCCTTTATTCTATATATTTTTTAAACCATGCAAAAAAGTTTTACCTTCTCAACATTATAAATTGAGTTACAGTATTCCCCTCCAAGAAATAAAATGACTCTCTAGAAACAGGCACCAGATATAAAGATGCCTTTTACTCACAATCTCACTTTCAGTCCCTCCCCCAAAACATCTGCAGTCTGCCACACACGAGAAACCCATCCTTATACAAGCCCACTGTCACCACAAACAAGCCTCCGCTCAAGTAGCAAAGCAGCAAGTCAAATGTTGCTTCTGTCTCTCTGTCCTGCCAAAGCAAGTCTGGATGACACATTTTAGTACCAATCATTTCACATCAGGCACTTCTTAACAATTTTCCACAGCAGCTACAGCATGACATCCAATGAAATGCTGAAATATTATACGGAGCTCTCTGCCTCCAATTAGAATTTCAGTGGCACAAATCTCTTTTCCCCCCCAGCCTCTCTGCCAAAGATGGCTCTAACCCAGATTATAGAGTTGTTCCAACAGTTTCCCTATTAGGGTTACACACAGAGAGGGGATTCCAAAGCGATAGGCTATATACAGACAGGTTAGCTTTTTCTCCATCTCAAAAATGAAGATTTATAATTCCTGAGGACAGCCATCCTCTCATCTGTGTACCAAATTTTGGTCACCCTCTCGCCTTGGAATGAGCTCTACAAAGCAGTAGCTGTTATGTACACGGTCTCAGCTCCCTTTTCTTGGTGAGTGCCCCTTAAAGTGACAGAAGAGCTCTGGGACAGACAGGCAGGGATATCCTTAGGCTGATTCGCCAGCAGCACTGGAGTTTGTAACTTTCTTCTTAGGACGAGTTTTCACAGTCTTTTGTGGAAGCTGCAAAGCAAGGAAAAGGATAAGGAATCAGTTGTTGAATAAAGAGGAGGTTTTTTTTAAAAAAAAAGTGAAAGCACTTAGTTAATGTTTTCACCTGGCTACTGGTTTTAATACAGACGAGGATTGCTGAAAATGCTAATTTATTGCTACCTGGTCATTCCACCCTCTTAACTATTTTATTCCAATTCATGTATCCACTCTCCAGTAGAGTTATCAGCCTTAGTAAGTCTGGAAAAGAAAATTACTGTTTTTTTCAACTGTTAACTATAAAACTGAAGACACTAGGGAAAAAAGAGATGACATTTCAGTTTCAAAATTACTTCCCCCTTCAAATCCATTGCCTGCCACTTTAATAACCCTTGAAGCTTGACTTTTTTTTTTTTTGCAACAAACGGTGGAGAATCTTGAATATATGACATTTGAAAACTACAAAAGGGGAAAAAAAACATATTTCACCTAGTTTTGAGAGTATGCCCATATGTGTAGAAAATATCCCTGGAACAATTGTGAATACTTTCAGCTGAGGATTTCTCAACACTTATTATAGGAAGTAAGCTACAGTTCACTTTTCTTCTCTGTGATTTATTTATTTATCGTGTCAGAAGTGAACCAAACAGTTGTATTGCATTAAAAACAAACAAAACACAAAGTTTGCAGGCTTGGTATTCTATTAAATGTCCTTTGACCAGTAGCTGGGCACTTGGGGTGCCTCTGGTGTTGCTGCAAGAAGGTCCTCCACTGTGCATGTGGCAGGGCTCAGGTTGCACTGCAGCAGGTGGTCTGTGGTTGGCTCTTCTCCACACTCGCATGTTATGGATTCCACTCTGTAGCCCCATTTCTTAAGGCTGGCTCTGCATCTCGTGGTGCCAGAGCGCAGTCTGTTCAGCGCCTTCCAAGTCGCCCAGTCTTCTGTGTGCCCAGGAGGGAGTCCCTCATTTGGTATCAGCCATTGATTGAGGTTCTGGGTTTAAGCCTGCCATTTTTGGACTCTCGCTTGCTGAGGTGTTCCAGCGAGTGTCTCTGTAGATCTTAGAAAACTATTTCTTGATTTAAGTTGTTGGTGTGCTGGCTGATACCCAAACAGGGGGTGGGCCAGAGATGTCACTGCCTTGGTCCTTTCACTATTGGTTGCTACTTCCTGGCAGATGTCAGGTGGTGCAATACCGGCTAAACAGTGTAATTTCTCCAGTGGTGTAGGGCGCAGACATCCCGTGATAATGTGGCATGTCTCATTAAGAGCCACATCCACTGTTTTAGCATGATGAGATGTGTTCCACACTGGGCATGCATACTAGTAGTAAAGCTCRAGCAGATGTCTTCACTGTATYTGTGATCCCCAGGTTGTGCCAGTCAGCTTTCGTATGATTTTGTTTCTAGTGCCCACTTTTTGCTTGATATTCAGACAGTGCTTCTTGTACGTCAGAGCACAGTCCAGAGTGACACCCAGGTATTTGGGTGAGCTGCAATGCTCCAGTGAGATTCCTTCCCAGATAATCCTCAGAGCTCGGGATGCTTGTCTGTTCTTAAGGTGAAAAGCACATGTCTGTGTTTTAGATGGATTAGGGATCAGCTGGTTTCCCCTGTAACAGGCAGTAAGAGCACCTACAGCTTCTGTTGTACCATCTCAAAGCTCCCTGCTTGAGCAGTAATGGCACAATCATCAGCATAGATGAAACTCTCTGTCCCTTCTGGCAGTGGCTGGTCATTTGTGTAAATGTTGAACATGGATGGAGCAAGCGCACTCCCCTGGGGCAGGCCATTCTTCTGTTTTTGCCATCTGCTTCTTTGGCCCTGGAACTCAACAAAAAAAGCTTTTGTAGCAAGTTTCCTATGAGGCGGGTGAGGTGGTAATCCTTTGTGATATTGCACATTTTTCTCAGGAGGAGGCGGTGGTTTACAGTATCATATGCCACTGACAGGTCTATGAAGACAGCTCCTGTGATCTGCTGCCTTTCAAAGCCATCTTCTATGTGCTGAGTCAGGTTCAGCACTTGCAATGTGCAGCTTTTGTCCTTCCTGAAGCCAGCTTGCTGTGGAATCAGACAGGGGTCTATTTTTTTCCATAATTCTATGCAAAATAAATCTCTCCAGAACTCTGTAAAGGTGGCACAACAAGGAGATTGGTCTATAGCTTTTTGGGTCATTACAGTCTTTGCCTGGCTTCAAGATGGCTATGACTCTTGCTTTCCTCTAGATCAGTGGTTCTCAACCTGGGGTCCCCAGATGTTTTTGGCCTTCAACTCCCAGAAATCCTAACAGCTGGTAAACTGGCTGGGATTTCTGGGAGTTGTAGGCCAAAAACATCTGGGGACCCCAGGTTGAGAACCACTGCTCTAGATTTTGGAAATCTGACAGGATGCAGTGCAGTTGTTCATCAGTTCCAGCAGCCAGCACCTTGCTTTTGAACCAAAGTTCTTGATTTGTTCCAACTATCTCAAAGTTCCCCTGTGATGAAGGCAGATAAAACACCTGGTAGAAAAAATGATCACCTATGGAAAATAAGGAATAAATACAACACTGTATTTCAGCAACTGACAATTACATGAAACTGTGTACCAAAAACAGAAATGTATTTGACAAGGTAATAGGTTTCGTCCTGGAAAAATCAGGAAGTGGAGCCTAAACAAGACAGCTCACGAAATGTATGGGGACTGTGCTCTCTCCTTGATTATGTGAGTAGCAGATTAGGCTAAAATAAGATGGACAGCCATATTTGTTTTTTCCTCTGTCTGTTCCCTTTATGAATAAAACAGAGGAATGCATCAAAGGGGATGCAGAGGAAAGATGAGCTAAACTGCTTCTCCTTTGCAGTATCTTCTAATGATTCGTTGTCCAAAACACTTTTAAACACAGCCTATTCACTTCTAGTAATGCAGCTGCTTGGGTGGAGTTCAGATAAAAAAGCATGGGAGGATAAGCTGAAGAAGAAGGAAATGCTCAGCCCCACCCTCCAACCTGTTTTATGTTAATATTAAAATCAGTTACACACATACCACTCCTTGATGATAGCATGAATTGGGAAGGCACAACCAAGGAATAATCAAATGGTTGCTGCCATAATCACATCTAATTTTTGTCCTTAGTAGACACCCAAACATGTTAAGATGTAATTATGGTCCCACTAAAGCAGAAGACATAAAGACTTCTTTATCAAATGATGTCTATAGGCAGAGATTCAACAAAGACTGACAGACTGGAAGAAGCAAAATACCCCAACAAAATGTAGACAGGTTTCCAGAGAAAGCAAATACTCTTAGGTGATTGGTAAGCTACTAAAAAGGGTTGAGTATCAGGCTGAGGGGAACATGTAAAATTCCACAAAAATCACAGCATTTCCCTTCCTCCTGTATTTTCAGGAAGAGCAAACTATATCCACAGAGTCCAAATGCTAGCCTTCCAAACCCTTACATTGTAACTCACCTCAGACTTTGTCACTTTCTTGGGAGCTTTAAGGCTCTGAGTCCTTTTGGGGACTTTGTCTCCTGTATCATCATCTGATGGATCTGTTTTGGCATCGGATTGCACTCCAGTATGTCGATGAGACACTACCATCTCCTCTGATGAAGAATAACAGGATGCACCTGAAAAGAAAGCCAGTAGTACAGCTGTCTCTTATTCTTCAAAGAAGCAGAGGATAAAAATACAAACCCTGGCCTAAAGCTCTGGAAGGCAAAGGGGAGAAAGAGAACCTTATCACTACATAAGATGACAGTTAAAATCTCAGAATCAAACATGGTATAATGTTAACTGTCTTTGAATGCTATATTTGGGATTAATCTTTTTAAAAAACAAACAAACAACAAAACAAAACAAAAAAGAGCAGCAGCAGTCCCCACCTCCTTTCATTCGCCTAGCGTAATATACCTCTTCTATCACCATTTTAATGCAATGTAAAGTGCAAATGGGGAGGCCAGGGAAATGGGAAGTCAAACACTCCCTCTGCTCATCCTGCTCTCCAACCCCTCTCTCTATTCCAGACATCCTCAAACTGCGGCCCTCCAGCTGTTTGGGCCTCCAACTCCCAGAAGCCCTAACGAGCTTGTTCAATTGTCAGGAATTCTGAGAATTAAAGGTCCAAACAGCTGGAGGGCCGCAGTTTAAGGATGCCTGCTCTATTCTATCCCAATAAGTCTAACTGAAAAGCATCTCAAAGAACAAGATGTGAGGCAAAATCAGAATGTGGTCAAAAAACACCTGGAAAATAATAATTCCCACCCTTAAAAGAGATGAATGAAAATCTGTAGAAATCTGTTTTGTGGCCCCTGGAATCCGGGGGGGGGGGGGGGGGGGGGGGGGAGCAAACTCTATCCCTCCCCTTCCAAAGTAAGGAGGGGAGCCAAAATCTGTTTGTTTGTTTTTTAAAGAATGGATGCCATTTTTAAAAAACTAGAAGTCACCTTCTCTGAACAAACCTTCTCAAGGAAACACAGCTTTGGGGTCACTATAAATCAGAAATGACATGATGGAACACAACACCAAGTGATGTTCTGGTTACTCCAATTTTCATTTGGAAGTGGAAGTGTGCATCCCTGAATGAGGGCAGAAAAACTGCCCTCAGACCCTGGGAGCTTGGCCATCCCTGATTTACTTTCAATTCTCCTTGATATCTACCCTTACAGAACAATGTAAACTGATGGTTTATACCTGAATCGTCAACAGTTTCATGAAGGCCTGTGGTAGAGGTACGCATATGTGATTCAGGGCTCCGCAAATGCACAGTGTCATCATCCCGTATCAAAGTCAAATCCTGCATGCTGAAGCTCCGTAGCTTTTCAGATAAAACTCCCTGGCCCTTTAAGACAGATCAGGTATTTATAACTACCCATATGCATTGTATCTTTCTAAACATATCATTAGGAGACTGGGATCCTGCTGATGACATATACTGATATAACTTCCCAGGATTCCAGGATGTGTACTTTTTCAGTCACTATAGAACAATGGTTCTCAATCTGGGGTTCCCAGATGTTTTTGGCCTACAACTCCCAGCAATCCCAGCCAGTTTACCAGCTGTTAGGATTTCTGGGAGTTGAAGGCCAAAACATCTGGGGACCCACAGGTTGAGAACTACTGCTATAGAAGGAGATAACAAGTATAAATACACACCCCACCCCATGACATGGCCATCCAGGTCCTGTGTACCATCTGACAAAGAACTGTCACCCCTCCAACCTCCAGCAAGACCTCCACTGGAGTTCCAGAAGGACAACCACTTTCTTTTTCCTGGTTACAAAATTGCAGCCAAGTGGTGCCCAGGAGCCCTTGCTTTGATTACTGCTTGGCCATGGGAAAGCATACTAACACTTAAACACTTTAGTACATCTTGGAGCAGTAAACCTATGTTGCCTCATAGGGAGAAGGTATGTTGGCAGAACCTTATACTCCACTAGCACAGAAGCTCTGACAGGAACAGATCAGAAAAGCTTCCAGTGGAGGAGATATGATGACAAGAAGACAGCACAAGAGGAGTACACTTGGCCAGACAGCAGAACGAATCTGTATCATGGATAAGCTAAAGTTTGGACCAAGGGGGATATATGTGGTGAGGGCGTGACACCGAAAGCTAGCCCCACAGAATGGAACAGAACAGGCCTGGAACACAATTATAAAAATTACCTTTGCAGCTGCAGTAACTGCTGCATTTGCTGCCAGATTTAATCCTCGCTTTCCAACTCGCATCATAGTTTCATAACTCTTGTCACGGGCCTGGCTGATATACTCGTCAATTTCCTAGGATTTAATTGAGGGGAAGACCACATTAAAAATTATACAGGCGTTCACAATGCACAAAGCTCATAGGTTTGAAGAACAACAAGAGACATAGGTTCTCAGACATGTCACAGAGAGTCATCCTATGTTAAGAATAAAAGCACTGAAACTTTGTCAAGTGTCTTAGTAAATTCTTCTTGTTCAGCAACTACAAACTATCCTTGAATATGCTGTATGCTGAAAAGAGAAAGTCGGAGATGAATCAAATAGGAATCATCCAATTCTGGCAGAATTATAAAACTGAAGGCCAGCCTCAAGGAAGTTTGTAATTTTTGGCTTCAAATACTTCTAGAGTCTGAGCTATAATGTACTCTGCACTAGTATCCCTGCTTGACATCCTGTAGGATTGCTCTAACCTGGAAAGGGTTAATCCCTGATAAATTTCAAACAGAGCCAGCATGGTGAAGGAGTTTCAGTGATGGACTATGATTCTGGAAACCAGAGTTGAAATCCCTGCTTAGCCATGGCAACCCTCTTGGTGACTCTGCGCAAGTAACACACGCTCAACCGCAGAGAATAATAATAAAATAAAACTTTATCTCTATCTCACCCTATCTCCCCAATAGGGATTCAGGGAGGTTCACGACATACAGCAGCAAACATTCAATGCCATAAAGTGCGACCAAAAAGCAAATAAACACATCATAATTCAAATAATAACATATTAGACATCAACATCAGAAAAGAGTGAAACATTATAGCAAATTAGGCATCACACAACTAAAAATTCACATTTTTACAAATAAACACTTAAAAACAAGACTTAAACTTGAGACTAATAAAAATAAAACATTAGAATTTAAAAGCCAGAGTAACAAGCCATTTCCATATTCCATTCCATTTTGTTTGTGCCAGATGTTTTATATGTCCTCCTCTCTGTATGCTTGTGAGCATCAAAAGGTCTTTAAATGTTTTTTGAAAGTGAGCAAGGAGGGGCCATTTTAATCTCATTAGAGAGTTCAAAGGCAGGAAGCAATCACGGAGAAGGCCCCTTCTCTCATTCCCACCAGCCATGCTTGGGGCAGGAGTGGGATCAAGAGCAAGGCCTCATCTGCTGATTGCAGCACCTGGGCAGGCTCGTATGTGGAGATGCGGTCAGCCAAATAGTTCAGACCTGTTGAATTGGAACCGCTCAAAATCATATGCTCAATGGTCTGGAGATTTTCTAGTGAAGAAGCTAGTGATAGTAATTATCATTTCTTTATTATTTATTTATTTACTGCATTTTCTCCCCCTTAGAGAACTCATTAATCCAATCTTTAGTGGAACTCAATTTCTTCTATACATAGTAAATTCTATTTTGTGTTTTTTGCATTGTAGTTATTTCATTGTTATATTTACTGTTATTTAATAGACCATGAGTTTTCTATGGCACATATCTGTGGGAAAGTAGCATACACATATGGATGATGATGAGTTCCCTCCGGGGTAGAAATACCATAAATAATAAATAATAGTATCAGATCCCCAAAACAAAAATGAGTGATAAATAATAATTGCTGCTATGAATTTTTGTTCAATTCATTTTTTAGTTTGTAACTTCAATAGTCTAGTGAACATGATTTTTCAAGCAGAAGTATACCCTAGAAAAGAGTAAAAGGTCCCAGCAGAGGAAGGAAAGTAGCTCATGCTGAGTATGTGGCTAGGATCCAAACTGCTTCAAAACGCACACCTGACTGAATGTAGAATCTGTTTTTAGTACAGGAAAAAGGACCTATTTGTCTTTCAGCCTAAAAGACTGCTCCAGGCAGAGTCAAACATGGAAATGGGTGTTTTCAGAAAAGTAGGAGACAGTATAAAAGGGGAGAAAATGAGAAAGACCTGGTGTGCATGCAGAATTCTGTGCATGGTCCTATGGATCGCAAAGAGTAATTTTATTGTTGTTTATTCGATCAGTCGCTTCCAACTCTTAGTGACCTCATGGACCAGCCACACCAGAGCTCTCTGTCGGCTGTGGCCACTCCCAGTTCTTTCACAGTCAAGCCAGTCACTTCATCGATACCATCCATCCATATTGCCCTTGGTCGGCCCCTCTTCCTTTTTCCTTCCATTTTCCCCAGCATCATTGTCTTCTCCTAGCTTTCCTGTATTCTCATGATGTGGCCAAACTACTTCATCTTTGCCTCTAATATCCTTCCCTCCAGTGAGCAGCCAGGTTTTATTTCCTAGAGTATGGACTGGTTTGATTTTCTTGCAGTCCAATTTTCCTCCAGCACCACAGTTCAAAAGAGTCTATTTTCCTTTGCTCAGCCTTCCTTATAGTCCTTATAGTCACAACCATAGGTTACTACAGGGTATACCATTGTTTTAACTATGTGGATCTTCACTGCCAGTGTGATGTCTCTACTCTTCACTATTTTAATGAGATTGGTAATTGCTCTCCTCCCAAGAAGTAAACATCTTCTGATTTCCTGGCTACAGTCTGAGTCTGCAGTAATCTTTGTGCCTAGAAATACAAAGTCTGTCACTGCCTCCATGTTTTCTCCCTCTATTTGCCAGCTATCTATCAGGCTGGTTGCCATAATCTTGGATATTTTTTTAATTTTTAACTGCGACCCAGCTTTTGCACTTTTTTCTTTTACCTTGGTTAGAAGGCTCCTCAGCTCCTTCCCACTTTCCACCATCAAAGTGGTATCCTCTGCATATCTTAGTTTGCTAATGTTTCTTTCAGCAATTTTAACTCCAAATGAACACTAAAGTCAGAGCTAACTCTCTCAAGGTTGGAAATTAGGGATTTTCTCCTTGGTCTGCAAAAGTAGGAGTAGCCATCTATTCATTATGAGCAAGCACAACCATGACTAATATTAAAGATGTTTTCTGAAACCTAACTAAATTGGACATCACTCAACTTTCAGGACTAAAAAACAGGGCAATCTAAAGGAAGTACCTTCTCCTTATTGGAGAGCGTTGGGTGAACAAACTTCCTGTAGAGAACGCTGGAGCCCTTGGTATAAGGAGAAAGCAGCCAGATCACAAATGCGATTTTCAACTCGAAATAGAAAGGAAACCTGAGAGAAATGGAAAAGCTGGAATCAAGCTGAGGTTAGAGACAGACAAAGGCTGACAGTCCAGATAGTAGCACAGATGAGATAAGCAAAGGAAGAAAATGAAAACTATAGATGGGACAGAATCAATACAGCAAAGCTATAGAAGAGGCCAATCACACACTTTCTGGGATTTTCTTTCCTGAATATTTATTTCCAGTCTCCTCTACAGCTCTAATTAATCCATGTCCAGGGCTATCTCTAAGTTCTGCAAATATACAGTCTTAAACTCTGCAAACACTGTTTAATAATTTACCAGAGAGCTCTAAACTAACATAGGTCTGGGGCATAATAACAAGATTGACCCCACTGCCTGAGAATCAGCAATATTCTCAACCCAGTATTTATGCTAACCATTCAAGTCCTTCAGACAAGTGAAAGTTAGGAGTTTAAACATGGCTGCTGGTCATTTAATGCAGATACATTTGAAGGATTATGACATCTTATCTTTTCTTAATGCGTAGTCAGGACAAATCAGTCTCGACCACAGAGTTCACTATTCTCCTTGGGTAAGTTTCAGTATTATTTTGTAAAGGATTAGACAAATGCTTGCCATGCTATAGTGCCAGAAACTGTGGCAAATTTAAAAAGTCAGCCAAAACCCCTTCAGTTTCTATTAAAATACACCTTTTTAAAAATGAATAAATGTGTTTCTTGAAACTGGCATTCTAGACTTTATTTGTACATTCTGGTTGTCAGGAAAAGCAGCAGAATACATTTTTGTCAAAATCACCTAATATATGAGCTATAGCAATTGAGTCTATATTCTAAAAGGAAATAGCACAAACAGTTCTCAAGGACAAGAAAGCCAAACACTTTACTGAATCCTCTCACAGAATCGCATTCTATTCTAGATGGGTAACTAAAGAAGAATGAATACATCTAGCAGCTCCCCTGCTTAGTTCCCAACATAGGGGAGGACTTACCAAGAAAGAATAATGTCTGTGAGTGTCTCTGCTGTGGTGAAGAAGGCAAACACAATCCAGTACATCATCCATTTGACCTGCAAAATAGCAATCAGAAGTTAGATGGACACTAGGGCTTACCTTAAAACAAATTCTGGATCAATTCCAAACCCAATCATTTGAAGCAATTTGGTAGATAGTTATACCCATGTTCAAATGTCAGTAATTCAGAGCTTCAATCAGCAACTGGTCTTGCTCCTACTTCTAAGTTTAGTAATAACTGGTAAGTTCTGTATTGAGTATTTTTCCATGAAGAGTTTTTTTTATCTTCCATAGATACTGATAGTATTTCTCCTCACCTTTAATTTTATTATTAACTAGCCGTCCCCTACCATGTGTTGCTGTGTCCCACATGGCGGTTCTATGTGGGAGGTTGGTGGGGTTCAGAATGCTCTGTGATTGTAGGTGAACTATAAATCCCAGCAACTACACCTCCCAAATGTCAAGATTCTATTTTCCCCAAACTCCATCAGTGTTCACATTTGGGCATAATGAGTATTCGTGTGAAGTTTGGTCCAGATCCATCATTGTTTGAGTCCACAGGGATTTCTGGATGTAGGTGAACTACAACTTCAGAACCAAAGGACACTGCCCACCAAACTCTTCCAGTATTTTCTGTTAGCCATGGGAGAACTGTGTACCAAGTCTGGTTCAATTCCATCGTTGGTGAGGTTCAGAATGCTCTTTGATTGTAGGTGAACTATAAATCCCAGCAACTACAACTCCCAAATGACAAAATCATTTTTTTGAGTGAAGGACATACATTGGGTTTTTAGGGGTCTTGTGTCTAAATTTGGTGTCAATTCGTCCAGTGGTTTCTGAGTTCTGTTAATCCCACAAACAAACATTACATTTTTATTTATATAGATCACATTATTACCACTTATGTTAATTCAGATGAGTTAAATACAGGCTTGTATTGGTCTGTAAGATCTGTAAAGCTCATGTCAACTGCCTCCTTTGCTATATACTACATCAAGGAACTGGGTAAGTTGAACAGATTCTAAACTACTATCAACCCCTTACCATATACAATAACCCATATATGACAGAAATTTTCTTCAACCAATTGTACAATAGGCATTTTGACATACAAGTAATTCTTGTTACCATTGCTTGCTCTTTCTACCTTTTGCAGATTCTCCCTGCTTCAAACAGTTGTTTATAGGGCTTTTCTGCCTTAGTAATGCTGTGCTCAGTTGTGACATTTGGGAGAATGTCCAAACCTCTCATTATGCTACAGAACACAGAATATAAAGGAATTGTTGTTGCTCTGCCAAAAATACAGAGTTCTCAGCAACAAAATGCTTATAGTGACCAAACCATATTTATAAAACATTATCCAGCTTCTACTGGAAACATCCAAATAGATATACAATGAGCTGCTAATATCAAAGGACATAACTTGAAATAATCTAACTCAACTGATCTCCAGATTGACAAACCACTGAAGAAAATCATCAAGATTACTAGGGATTGTTAGAGCTGTGTTTCATGACTGGTGGTTTAAAGTTGCTGTTGTGAAAGAAGCTGCAATTCATAAGCCTCTTTTCAACAAGAAGTTTACAGTGCTATCGTTGCTTGTTATTTTGCTGCAATGTAGTTTAATATCACAACAAATATTTTTGTAGCTGAGATTACAATCCCTTTTCTCTAGTGTTAAACCAGTTATTGTGCATAAGGAGCTAGCTCCCTCTGCTTTCTACTAAGTGAAAATGCACCATGAAAAAAAACTTTGCCTTTTAAATGGCTTTTCAACTTATGCAAAGAAGAGGCTGTTGAAAGGCAGCTTCTTTCGAAACAGCTACTTTAAACACCCAGTTATGAAACACCGTTGCAAGAAACTCAAGCAGTACTGATAAATTTTTCAGGAGTTTGTTAATCCAAAGATTGGTCATGCCAGACATGCTAACCTGGATGACAGTTTGGCATTGTTATCACACCTGCAAGACAGTAACAAATGAAGGAGGAGGAGATAATGATGAGAATAATAAACTAAAGTAAAATAGCTTTTCTACATATGAATAGTTCAATGACTAACACATTCCCCAAAAACTGACAACAGTAAATTATTCAATGTGATGAAAACAAAAAGCATCAAAGATATCCAAAAGGAGCTTTCTGAACTGCAGAGAAATGCAGTCCATTTTAAAATAAGCACCATGAAGCAATACATACATATGCATACACACATATTAACATTTGTTGTCCCTGACATTAAGTCCAGTTGTGTCCGACTCTGGAGTGTGGTGCTCATTTCCATTTCTAAGCCGAAGAGCCGGCGTTGTCTGTAGATACCTCCAAGGTCATGTGGCCAGCATGACTGCATACATACATACATACATATACATATACATATACATATATATATATATATATATGAACTAATATATATATGAACTTCACACACATGATGATGATGGGTTTAAGCTGGCAGTCACTGACCACAAAAGCTATTTTAGGGTTGCAGAAGATGGTGCAAAAGGTGCACCCCACAGCTCTTTTTCATTATTGTCATCATTTTTAATATAACACCATCATTGTGTATGCTGTGTTACAGTAAAAGGACAACAAAGCAGCTCCCTGCCCTCAGGCTTACAATCTAATTAAGGCATAATGGAAAGGTGAATGGCAGTGTGGGAGGAGATTAACTCCAGCAGACACCACCTCTCCTTCCCTCCCTCCTCGGATGGTGTGCTTCTGGCCATGAGAGAACTCTGCCTGCCTCTTCTCTCCCTCTAAGGCCAGGGAAGCGGAAGTTGGGATGAAGGAAGGTTTTAATCTGTTTCTGGACCTAGGCATGATAGAAATGTGGCTGCCTCTAATTCTCTCCTATGTCTCAGCAGAATCCCAGTCCTATCTGATGCCCCTCTACTATGTGATCATACTTGCACCCTGCTGAAGGCTAGACAGGATAATTTAATAGGGAAATGGACTCATGATTAATTAATGCAACTATACTTTCTTGCCCATTGGATTGTTCCTGCTGGTGCACTTCCTAGCAGAGTACACAGTTATGTCACATTATGCCTTTCCCTTGCCTGGCCAGGTTTCAGCTACACAGGTCAGGTTGTTCTTTGGGGATTAACTTCTCAATCAGAATAGATTTAATCAGATTCCTTTCCCTAGTAACTGAACATTCAGCGGCAGTGATTTTTTTTAACTCACTTGACCACGTTACTGTAGTTAGGAATCAGTTAGTGTATAAGTCAGCAGCTGTCTTCTCTACCTTTGCATCCAGCAGTCAGCATTATCTGCTCCTCCGCCTTTGCTTATTACAAATATTTGGAAGCTACCAGAAACCACAGGGAAATATGTGGTTGAGTAATAAATAGGGAAAAGATGGGCACCTGCTTGGGTACCAGAAAACAGACTGACCCAATGCTAGTGTGGTAGATGATGCCCCTGACCTCTAGCTCTGTCTATGATGCCAACTGCCTTTCTGTGTCTGCACCTAAAATTATTCCTTGAATGTTTTACTGTTCCACTGGATGCAAATGGGGAATTCCTTGACTCCCTCTGGTCACTAACAAGGGAATTTTCTTTTTATTCTGTTAGATAGGAAGAAGGATAGGAATTGTGGGAACAGGGACTACTTCATAGATTGTGTTAGGTTCAAAAACCTGAAAATTCCCATGCCTGAAATAGACAATGCCTAGGAACTATCATGTCAACTGTCAGAGTACGACTCTAAGGACTCAAAACACCCACTGTCAAAAACAGTTAAGCAATCAATTATAGAAAAATTGAAAATCATCTGGATCTGTTAGCATTTGAGGACACCAACTCCATATGAGTTTACCACCCTTGGCACCAATGGGAATTTCCTCCTGTACAAAAAATGCAGTTAAAATAACAGAATCATAGAAATGAAAAAAACATTGTGGGCCATCCAGTCCAACCCCGTGCCAAGAAGCAGGAAAATAGCATTCAAAGCACCCCTGACAGATCCAGCCTGTTTAAAAGCCTCAAAAGAAGTTTGATATCTTTCCCTCTACTGGCACCTTTCAAAGCCAAACTTATAACTTTTTGAGATGGAATAAGAATAAACTATAGGCGTTTTCAGAATTTAAAACAGTTATTTTGCAGACTACATCTCACAGAATTTCCTAGCCACATAGAAGACCAAAGAAATAATGTTTACTGATTGAGCATTATTTATTTATTTACTTACTTACTTTACTTTACTTGTATACCGCAGTTTCTCAGCCTAACGGCGACTCAACGCGGTTTACAACAAGGATAAGAATCAGTCAACAATATACAATTTAAAACCATAAGAGCATAATATACAATATTGACACAACAATAACAACACAATGCATCTCATCACTAGAGTCGTGATCCAAATTCGTCGTCCATATTTCCATTCCTGTAATCATCACATTCATTGCACTGATTAACCAAATGCCTGTTCAAACATCCAAGTTTTTAATCTTCTTCTGAACACCATTAGCGAGGGGGCTGATCTTACCTCCATGGGGAGGGTGTTCCACAGCCGAGGGGCCACCACAGAAAAGGCCATGTCTCTCGTCCCCGCCAGCCGCACCTGTGAAGCCGGCGGGATAGAGAGCAGGGCCTCCCCAGAAGATCTACTCACAACATTATGCTACTCATAACTTACTTTGTTGTCTCTCAATGATTTCAAGCATTACATTTCTTTTTTTCCTTTTTTTTTTTTTTGTAGAAGCCACATCCTAGAGTGAAGTGGGGAGTCTGGGGGCAATGTCAAAGATGGAATAAATTTCCCCCTAAGTAATTTTTCTTTCACACAACCAGGCTGGTTGATTGAATGGAAAGAGGGCACAATTGCTATCAACCAAACTTTTTTTCCTGTCAAGTTAAAATTCCTTGCTGTTCTGAGTCAGGGCTTCTTAAACGTTTTCACTTCCGATCCAAGAAATGTTTACATGACCCCTGATATATAGGTATATGAAATAAGTATAAAAATCAGCATTTGCAAGCCTCGCTAACAGGCTGATTTCCCTTTTTGATGAAGTGCAGCTGAAGCATCTTCTGCAATATGCACTGTAAACAC